CAGGAAGTAGAAACACTGACGTTAACTCCACTGTCTGTTCACCAGTTCACGGTGGAGTGTGAGTGGCAGAGACAAGTGTCTCGGACTCTGTCCGTCTCAGTTCCACATGTCCTGTCCTTTGGTGAGTTGTCCTGAAGGAATAGTCACACACACACACACACACACTGACTGTACTGTTGTGGCTGTGGCGGCTTCAGGAGCCGTCTCTGAGCTGGGACATAACAGTTCTTCTCATGTTTATGAAACATCTTCACCGTCTGTGCAGGGCTGAGCACCAGTGACGTCTCCATCAACTCCTCTGGTCTCCTTCACATTATTGAGCTTCAACATTTTCACCAGGTACTAAAATAAAGAAAATCCAAATCTTTTATTATTTATTGGATCAGTGGGCCTTGGCTAAATTGCCGGTTTGTGGTCCGCGCCCCAGGGGTTGATGACCTGTAGCCTGTTGTGTTAACTATACAAATAACGACAACCTCTGATCTTCCGTTAGGTTTACCAGGCCTTCAGAATCACAGTTGAAAGCCAGTGCAAAGTGGACAAAGGTAAAAATATATGACCATATATGGCAACGGTCCACGGTGTGAATATATCATTAGTGTGTGTGTCTGCCTGTAGACAGGTCAGCTAATGTGTACAGAGTGAAGGTGCCGTGGTTTGGAGAGGACTCTGTCCCCACAGTCAGGTTAGTCTGACACACACACACACACACACACACTCTCTGTCCTGGTCTGACTGGTCCGTCCTCTGGTCCACAGTGTTCCCTCAGTCACCGAGGTCTCAGGGATGCTCCATACGAGTCGCCCAGACAACACATCATGTGTCCTCCTGCACATTCACACTGCCCCCAACTGCCACTATAAGGTACTGCAGTAATAAAAGTACACAGGTTCTGCTGACCTGGTAATAAGGTACTGCAGTAATAAAAGTACACCCGTTCTGCTGGTTCCATATCTGATGTGGGATCTTGACCATATTTGTCCCCCCTGATGTAGGTGTCAGTCAGGACTTCACTGCCCAGGATGCTGGGTCAGGTACGGTCCGGTCCGTCTCTGAACACCACATGTTAAAACATTATTGCTGACCAAACCATGGATCTGATCTGATCTCTGTTCTCTGACAGATACTGAGGTTCTGTGGACCTATGGTGCCAGTGTATGTAGCTGTAACTCTCCTTTTGGCCTGTGGGGGGCAGCTACGTTCCATCCAGAAGACAAAGAGAGCCGTAAACGTGAGCAAAGCTGTGGCTGGTGGACTCCAGCTGCACAAAGTCAACCTGCCGGTCTTCATCCTGCATCTTCTCCTCAGGTTGGATTCTGGGTTCTTTAAAACTCAGATGGAAAGTCAGTTAAGGTTCTTCCAGCTGCTCCCCCTCTTCCCCTCACCCTCCTTGTCCTCCCTTTTCTCAGCTGTGGTCACGTTGAAGACATCTGGTCCACACTTGGCCTCCCCGCTGCAGACGTCCTCCCAGCCTCCTCTCCTGACACCTCCTTCCGTGAAGACCTGCCCCCCGTTGAGGAGTGGCCCCACCTCCTCTCCCCCCTGCTCTACATGTTTGGAGCAGCAGTGGCGTACTGGGGCAGCTCACTGCTCAGCCTCCTGGTCCAGGTCACGTCGTTACTGTTGGCTCCGCTGCACAGGTGGGTTCACGAGGTCACATGACCACGAGGAGCAGGTTCTGAAGAGGAGTGAGCTCTGACTCTGACTCTGACTGTTGGATGTTTTTGTCATCTGCTGCAGACCGTCTATCTCCAGGGACTGTGGAACCCTCCGCCCCTGGACCCAGGTCCTCGTCACTGTGTGTCTGGCTGTTACAGGCAGGGGGTGCTGTGGAGCCGTCTCTGTTTTTGCAGCATTTTTGCTTCACTTTTATAGGGTGAGTTCATGGTGTGACTGACAGAAGGACTAAGGCTTCAGTTCAGTCTTGACACTAACTACTGTGACCTTTGACCTTAAGCCACAAACAACAGCATTTTGTCTTTTTCAGGTGTTTGAAGTAGAGGTAGAGAACTGCAGTAAATTGACAGATATTAGATTTATGTCGATATCCAATGTGCCAATACTGTCCAAACACTTAATTTCCGATTGCGATATCAACCCATACTGTCGGCCAATAATATCGAACATCCCTAGTTCTAACTGATCACTGACCTTGAATTTTTTGGCATAATTTTTTGGTTACCCTGCCGGGGTACCTGCCATCCCAGCCTTCTCAGCTAACACGTTGTAATAAATACCTGAAAAAGACTGCAGTATTTACACAGTAGTCGGAGCGAAGGGTGGGGTTGAAGCAGAAATCACCTGCAGGATGAAGGAGTTCTTTAATTGATTATTTTATAAAAGTGAACAGTCTGTGAATTGATGATTGTTGTTTCTGTCGTGGTTGTTTTACAGGTGCTGAGACTGCAAATGACAGAACGGTCTCTGAGTCACATGCTCAATCTGGTGAGTCAGACTGAGAGATCATTTTTACTGCTACAAAATGATTTGATTTTTTTTTTTTAGGGATGTCCAATAATATCGGCCAACTTATATTATCGGCCTGATATTAGCATAATTATGTAATATCTGTAAGAATGCCTGGGTGTTTTGGGGAAAAACGGCTGTATATAAAATTGAAAACCACTAGATGGCAGAATTGCAGCTTTATTATATACATTAAATACATATTACCAGATGCTAAATAGTATTTCAATTCTAGGGCTTGATGGTGGTGAAAAAACTTCTGTCCCCTAGGGGGAGCATGGCAGAAAATAATTGAGAATTATTGAGCAGGTGGCACTTCATTTCCTTACCCACCAGGCCATCACTACTCCGTTATATTGGTATGGTTGATAGAGTAGAGTAGGGCATTATTCATCCCCCTTGGGGGAAACATACTAATATCGGAAAGAAAGTGTTTGGACAATATCGGCAAAAGGTTAATATCGGACATCCTTCGTTTTTTTTCTCTGTCTCTGTCTCCAAACATCCAAACTTTACATCTAAAACTTGTTTTGTACAACGGTTCCTTGTAAATGTTGACGTTACGTTCCTCAGGCTCCCGGGAAACACAGAGGAGCAGAGAACGGCAGAGTTGATGGCGAGCAGTCGAACAGGTCCAAAGTATGTAATGCCCCCCCCCTCCTGCTGTCAGAGTCCACTCTCCAGGAGGTGAGGGACGACCTGCAGCTTCATCTCTGCCTGTCAGCGCTCTTTACACTTCCTGTCATGCTCAGTGCTCCATCATTCATTCACTGGTTCCGCAACCTGAGGTAAAGTTTTACCACGGTGTCTGTGATGTACATGACAGGCGCTGACAGACGCCATCTTTGATTTCTGTCACCACGTCCACTGTTAAAATATTTTTTATAGGGATGTCCGATACTGTCGGACCGATATTGGCATAATCATGTAATATCTGCAAGAATCATTATCGGATTTTTCTCAGATAATGAAAACCCAATAACACAATGCCCAGGTTTGGCCAAATGATGTGTGACATAAAATTAGTTTTGGGGAAAAAGGGCTGTATATGAAAGTGAAAGTACAGTAGTTTGTACTATATCTGCTATATTGGTATCAGTATCGTTGATATCAGAATCAGAAAATTAAGTGTTTGAACAATATCGGCAAAAAATTAATATCGGACATCCCTAGTTGAAATAAAAAATGAATCGTACATCATGGTGTAAGGAGTAGACTGAGTTATTTCAACAAGTCGTTGGTCATACCTTGACACTACATAATCTAGTACAGTAGGTGGCAGTATGTGCCTAAAAAAACCCAGGCGTTAGGTCTCTACGTAGCCTAAGAGACATTCAGGTGTTGAAACAGAACGGGGGAAGAACTTGTTCCACAGACACCAACAGAGTTTTCCTGTGTTCCTGTAAAGAGAGGAACTCTTTCTAAGTTTCTTTCTTCTTCTGTTGTTGTTTTATATATTGACAGTTAACCAGGTCAATCAGACCAGACCAGTTTGACAGTGTGTCTATACTTTTTAGGTGAAGCTATATATTGACAGTTAACCCCTGGTACGTGTGTGTGCGTGTGTGTGTGTGCGTGTGTGTGTGTGTGTTGACTGACGTTGTCGTCTTCCTCAGATATTCCTGTCACCTGGATCCTGACCCGTGTTCTCTGTACACTGTTCCACTTGTGATTGTGTACGTGATGCTAATCAACATCAACACATCTGCACTGACCCACAGGTAGGACGGCTCACACACTCACTCACACACACACACACTCACTCGGATCCTCAGATCATCAGAGCAGCCCTTTGTCCCTCCTGTCCTCCTGTCCTCCAGTCTCCTCCTGCCTCTGACCTCCGGCCTGGCTCTGCCTGCAGCCGTGGCTGCCGTGGTCTTCTCTCCTCTTCATCTCTACAGAGTGGTCTACTTCATCCTGCTGACCGTGGCCCCCCTGGCCCTGTGTTGTCTTCTCTGACGGCATCTCCACCCCCACCACCAGCAGCCTGAAGGTTCTCTCTCTCTGAAGGTTCTGTTTCCTGTTCGGAACAGAGCCGCAGATAAACTCAGTCCGACTCTGTTGACGTCAGCAGTTTATGTTAGCATTTACACTGTGTTTCAATGGAGAGGACATCAAAGCCTTAGAACGGTGGGTGACAACAGGTGGTCTGCGGCCCACCATTGACTGTGATCACAAATATCTGGGTCGCCAGATTATTTTGGAAATATGTATTTTAAAAAAATGTTTACACATCTTAAAATAATTTTTGTTTTTTGGGGGGCGTGAAGAACCTGGCACTACCAGAATACTTCTTGTCATCTCCTATCCATTGCAGCCAGGAGGCGCTGTGGAGCTTCACACTTTAATCCAGACTG